ACAATTTGATCTTGCAAAAGAAGTTAGAGGTTTAGAGCTGCGGCCGCACACGTTGGTCAGCTGCGGCTACGCCTTCACGAGTCGGCCGAGACTCAGAGGACCCAGACCCATGTGGAAGCTGCTCCCCGCCGCGGGCCCGGCCCAAGAACCATTCAGACTTTTGACTGGTGTCGAATACATTGTTGGACGGAAAAACTGTGGCATTCTAATTGAAGGTGATCAATCAGTCAAAATCATGCTGTGTTAACTGCTAACTTTTCTGTAACCAACCTGAGTCAAACAGATGAGACTCCTATATTGACAATAAAAGATAATTCTAAGTATGGTAGCTTTGTCAATGAGGAAAAAATGCAGAATGGCCTTTTCCAGGCTTTGAAGACAGGGGATAGAGTTACTTTTGGAGTGTTTGAAAGTAAATTCAGAGTAGAATATGAGCTTTTGGTTGCATGCTCTTCTTGTTTAGATGTTTCTGGGAAAACTGCTTTAAATCAAGCTATATTGCAACTTGGAGGACTTACTGTGAACAATTGGACAGAAGAATGTACTCATCTTGTCATGATAACAGTCAAAGTTATCATTAAAACAATATGCGCGCTCATTTGTGGACATCCGATTGTAAAGCCAGAATATTTTACTGAATTTCTTAAAGCAGTTAAGTCCAATAAACAGCCTCCACAAATTGAAAAAAAAAAAAAGAAGTTAGAAGTCTAGATTTTTGTATGAAATCTCATGATTACTGAGCATTGGTAACTCATGAAAATTTGATATGCTGTGGAGGCAAGCCCAAGCAGGCCAAACAAAACACGCTTATGGGCCAAATTTGGCCTGCAGGCTGTCAGTGGGGGAGACCTTGAGGGGTCCCCAGGCCTGCCGGGGAGACAGGTGTGGACACAGGCCTTGCAGCTCAGAGGAGGGCTGGGCAGGGCCAGGTAAGCCTCTGCAGGGGAGTGATGTTTAATCAGCCCTTCGAAGGACAGCGAGATAAGGAGAGCAAGGGCACTCCAGCAGAAGGAGGAAGGCAGGCAGGGACCTAAGGTCATCTGGTCTGAGCACCCGCTGGTCAGAGCAGCAAAGTGGTTTGGTGTCCGTGGCGGTGGGAGGAGCAGGCTAAGTGGCTGGAGATGCAGGCCGGAGCCCATCTCAGAAGGACCTGGAACAGCGTTCAGACTTTGTCCTGGGGCAAGCAATGGAGGGAGGAGGTTAAGCAGAGGAGCTGGGCTCATCCCTGTGGCAGCAAGTGCAGGGGAGGGAGCTAGATGGGGGGCGTGGGTGCAGCAGGGAAACGGGAGGTCTCGGCCTATGGCGGTGGCTCAAGAGAGGGGAACCACATTTTGGGCCCCTTAAAACCACCCCCACTCACTCCTGACATAGACTCTCCTTGACAAAAGCAGGGTCAGGCCCCACTAAGCCCTCTTCCTAACCAGGCCCTGACCTTGGGCTCTGTCCTTGGCCGGCTTAGTCCCGTTTTAGCCAGAATCCTACTGGGTCAGTTTAGCACGAATCCCTCACCCTTGAAACCCACTCAGATTCCTCATCCTCACCCGGGGCTGCCGGTGAGAGTCCAGTCAAGTCGGGTTAGCGGGAATCCCTCTAGCTGTCCTCGTTTCCTCTTAGTAATTTCCCCCCATCGACCCCACCCTGCGCCTCCACTCTAGCCCCCCTCTTTGCCTTGTGGCCTGAGCCCCATCTCTCTCCCCTCAGGCCAACCCCCCCATTGCTGTGGCCCCTTGAATAAAGAAAGCGTGCCTTGCTGTCTTTAACAGGTGCCACGACCAAGTTTTCCTTAACACCTGGCCACAGCCAAGGCGATTTCACCTGTTAGTGGCTATTTGAAAATACCTGTCCTCTCCAAGGGGTCGCCTAAGGAGTTTGCATTTGTTTCAATCTCATCTGCAGCTTGAGTACAAGGCTGGTGAGGAATCAGCCAGAATTTCTGATCTTCCCTGCGTGGCCCCAGATCTGTAAGGATTTGTGTCTGAGCAAATGGCAACTCTGTCCTTGGAGGAGCTCCTGCCAAACAGCCCAGGGGTGTCTTTACACCTTATGTTTGATCCTTGAGCAAATCTTGCTGGACCTGCTTTGAAAATGGACCCAGAGCCTCCACTGCCTTTGCCACCCCCCTGGGCAGAACCACCGGCATTACCTTGCCTGGAGTTACTCACTGGCCCCTAGCTGGTCCTCTTCTTCACGCAGCTGCCAGAAAGGTCCTGTTATACCCTAGGTCAGAGCCGCTTGAGGCTCCCACCCTACTTGGGGTAAAAGCCATAGTCCTCGTAAGGGCGTACCCAGACCATGATCCTCACCCTCTCCCCATCACCTCTGCACCCTTGTTTTCTGCTATTCTCCTCGCTGCCCGCTCAGCTCCAGCCACACTGCTCTCGGAGTTATCGGTCTACCTCAGGGCCTTTGCACTGGCTACTCCCACTTCCTGGAAACTCCTTTCCCGGGATGTCCCTGTGGCTTGCTCCCACTGTCCTTCAGGCCTTGGCTCTAATGTCATCTTCCCAGTGAGGTCTTCTCTAAACCCTGCTTTAAAATCCCAACCTGCTCCCCTCATTTCTATCCCTGCCCCCTGCTTTATTTCTGCCCTTAGCTTTTAACACTTGCATACCCTACATCATAGGTATTAATGTTTGTGTTCTCTTTTCTCCCCGGTTCTGAGCATCCAGTGCGTGCTCAACGAGTGGAAGGACATTGCAACCCCCCTCTGTGCTTCCTCTGGGTATTTCTGAAGAGGGTGTGATCCCTGAGACATATTTCGGTTGGGATCTGCTGGCTTCGAATGCCCAGGACAGAGTTCCTAGCCTGAAGGTCACCTAGTCCTGCCCACATGTCCATTGTCACAAGCCTCCATCTGAGGGACTGATTTTCAAAAGTGTACGGACACTCCTGCGATGAATATTGCACACCTATTTAAAAGTGATACTGAAGGGCGCCTGGGTGGCTCAGTTGGTTAAGCGACTGCCTTCGGCTCAGGTCATGATCCCGGAGTCCTGGGATCGAGTCCCGCATCAGGCTCCCGGCTCAGTGGGGAGCCTGCTTCTCCCTCTGACCTTCTCCCCTCTCATGCTGTTTCTCTCTCTCTCTCTCTCTCTCTCAAATAAATAAATAAAATCTTTAAAAAAAATAAAAGTGATACTGAAGTCCTTGCAGGTTTTTGGCCATGATATATTTTCTCTGTCAACCCATACCCTCAACTCCGTGATTATTGAGTTCCCAACTCAAAATAGTTGGGAAGGCCTTGTGTCGGGCCAGAAAAGGGATCTAATGAAGGAGTCTGGAGACCCCTGGCCATCCTTCATATGAGTTCCTGCCAGGGACATTGCCCATAGTTACTGTCACCCACCAGCTGACCGTGAGCACAGGTTCACCCACCCGAATAAGGCCATTCATACTTTGTTGACTTCTGCAAGCCCTGCCATTCCACAAGATGGGGGTTTTTGGAGCAGCTCTCAGCTTGGGCAGAATTCAAATGAGCTCTTGCAATCAACATGCAATCAATTGTTGTACACCCTGGGCATCTGGGCCCCATGCACTGCTGGTGTTCGGGTCACCTCAGAGCCGAGGTGGGGCTGGGGGTGCTTACAGTTGGGCAATCCCACTTTGCACAAGAGAGCTCAAAAGGGTTTGTGGGAATTTGGTCCACTGATCTTGGTTCAGATGTTAATCATAGTGGCCGGCATTTATTGACCACCTACTATGCTCCTAATGCTTTTTTTAAAGGCACGATCTCATTACAACAGCCTGATAGGCCTCCCCCCTTTTTATTCTTTTTCTTTTCTTTCTTTTTTTTTTTTTTTATAGGTATTGAGGCTCCCAGAGGTTAAGTGACATGTTCAAAGCCCCCAGTGGGTCAAGTCCCAGAACGTCCTGACCCCGAAGTCAGTATTCTTGTTTGTTTGTTTTCCCCCCTGAAGTCAGTATGCTTAACCATTCTGCCCCCACCCCAACCTTGAAGTTTCTGGGTAGACAGCCTCTGTAGGGCATCCCTACCTAGCAGCTACAACTTTGTGTCCAGACCTCCCTGGGTCATGCTGCCCTGGATCTCAAGTGGGGATGGCCTGCAGGAGGAAGCCTCATTTGTCATACACAGCACCTGGCATCCAGTGTGGGGCACTTCTTTGCCACCTCTGCTGCTGTCCCATGCCATAATAGAGCCCGGCTGACTGGAGCTTCCACCTGCCAGAGAAGTCCTTCCTTTTGGTTTACACTAAGTCCCCCTGGGTGACCCCCAGGGAAAGCACAAGCCCCAAAGACTCTACAACCCTGAGTGCCTGGAGGGACACCCCTTCTGATGGGTCCGGCGAGTCCAGGTCCCGCAGAAGGCATCCCTTTCAGCTGAGCCTGAAGCTCCCTGGCTATGGGAAGCCCAGGAAACTTTGCAGTCCTGACCCTTTAGGGCTCCTTCCTAGGGCTCCCTCCTGCCGGTCCTTGTCCCTCTTGGGGAGCCCAGCACGCTCTACTGAGTAGGATGCCCCCTCCTGGCCGGGTTTGTGGCCCCCTCTCTCCCCTCCCACGCCGTCCCCCGCGGGGAGCTCCTTTCTCCGAGAGCGCCTTGCCTGGCATTCTCCTTGCTTCTCAGCCCCTCCAATCGGGTGCGGGGCTCCTCGGGGGCGCCCCTTCTTTCCGGGTCCCCCGCCCGCGCCCGGCGTGGGGCGCCCCCTCTCCCTGCTTAGGGCGGGCGCCGCAACAGTGTCGCCGGCCGCCTGCAGGTGTCTCCCCACGGAGGGGCGCGCGTCCCTGCGCCGCGGCCGCTGCCAGGCGCCGGCGGCTCCTCGTCGAGGTGCACTCGCGCTCCGGGCTCCGGGCGCGCGGGAGCCGCTCCGCCGCCGCCGCCCGCCCCCCGCGCCCCCCGCGCTCCCCGCGCCGCGCCCTCACCCCGGGGAGGGGCGGGGAGAACCATGGGCCCGCGCCGCGTCCGCCGCCGCCGATCGCAGGCGCCCGAGCCCCGGGGCGCGGCGGGCAGTGGCCGCTGACGCGGGGCGCCGGCTGCCAACTTCGCGCGCGGAGCTCCCCGGCGGCGCGGTCCCGGCGGCGCGGGCGGCATGAAGACGAGCCGCCGCGGCCGAGCGCTCCTGGCCGTGGCCCTGAACCTGCTGGCGCTGCTCTTCGCCACCACCGCCTTCCTCACCACGCACTGGTGCCAGGGCACGCAGCGGGTCCCCAAGCCCGGCTGCGGCCAGGGCGGGCGCGCCAACTGCCCCAACTCGGGCGCCAACGCCACGGCCAACGGCACCGCCGCCCCCGCCGCCGCCGCCGCCGCCGCCGCCGCCGCGGGGAACGGCCCCCCTGGCGGCGCGCTCTACAGCTGGGAGACGGGCGACGACCGCTTCCTCTTCAGGAATTTCCACACCGGCATCTGGTACTCGTGCGAGGAGGAGCTCGGCGGGCTCGGTGAGTGAGCGGCGGCGCCGGCGGCGGCTCGGCACCCGGCTACCCCCACACCCCTCCCCGCCCCGGGCGGCGCGGCCCCCGCGGCCCGAGCCCCCGCCCAGCGCTCCCTCCCGGCGGCCGGCCGAGGAGCCCCGCGCTCCGCAGGGCTCGGCCGCACGCCCTGGCACGGGGTGCGCGCGGGAGCGGGCCCGGGGAGAGTGGGGGGCGGCCGGGACGCGCAGCCGTGCCGGGGCTCCGGGCAGAGCTGCTGCCCTTTCCGAGCGCCGGGCGCCTTTGGGGACGTCGCCGCGCCCCGGGGAGGCGCGTCTCCCGGGCACCCAGCCCAGCGGCCGGTCGGCGGGGCGCGCGCTCCTCTCCGCGCCAGAACTCGTCTCTGGGCTCGCCCCCTCCCCCGCCTTCGTTCGCGGGGCACCGGCTCCCCCTTCCCCGCCCGTCCCGCCTAGGGGAGGACGCACCGACTGCTGCTCCGAGGCGCCCCCCCCACCCCGCTCCGCTCCGCAGATCCCCGGAGCCGGGGGCGGGGGTGGGGGGTGTCGTTCTCCCAGACGGAGCTCGGGCAGCAGGAGAGTCGGGGGTGCGGGGAGGCCGGTGGGTTCCCGGCGGGGAGCCCTTCGTGTCCTGGCCCCCGCCCGGGAGAGGATGGAGCGGGAGGGGGGCGAGGCGGCGGGAAAGCGGGACCGCTGGGCTCGGCTCGGATCAAAATTGGTGGTGGTGGTGGTGGGGTGACTTTTCAGAAGGCCGATCAAACTGCACCCTTTGCCTCGCTCCTCTTCCCGTGCCCGCCCCGGGGCAGCCAGGGCGGAGTGAGTGCCCCCGAGGCGGGCAGTGAGGCCGTGGGGGAGGGGGCAGTGCAGGGCCACACCACCCACTACCTCCCAGATCGTATTGTGCTCTAGGTCGGGGCGTGGGGACCCTCTTGAGTGAATTGACCTCTCTCCCCAAGGTTAAAAGTCTGTGCATGCACAGCTCTTCTGCGCTCAGGGACGTGGTCCATGTGGGTACCCCGATGTCCATGGGGGTGGGTGACAACGGAGTTTGCTCTGAACAAGCTGTTGGCCTGATTGGTTGTCTAAAGGACAGAGAGACAAGAAGGTGTAAAATAAACCCAAGGAGGCTGCTCCCTCTGCCTGGAATTCCCTTCCCCACATCTTCCCTGGCCGGCTCCTCCTCACTCCACTGGCAGGTCCCCACCCGGCTTGCCAGGCAGGGTCTTCCGGAGAGAAGACCTCCCCAGCCCCTCTGGAGGCAGGGTCCCCTAACTTTGTCTCTTGTCACCACCTTTAGCTTCTTCATCATGCTTGGCACAACCTGAGATTTTCTGGATCCTGCCTCTGGTCACTCGCCTCCTGTCCCCTGTCTCCACAGGATGTCCCTGTGAGGGCAGGGCCTGGGTTGCCTGGTTGGCGGTCATCCCCAGCCTCTGGGTAGCATCTAGTGCATAGGAGGTCATGGGTACATTTTGGTGGGATTCATGTTGGATGAGGGCCTGGGATGATAAACCAGCGGTTTCCTGGGGTGCCGTGCCCTCTGCCTTGCCTCTGGAGGTGCTTGCTGAATTTTTCTGTGACCACCTGCGTGATGCTAGCCGTTTGTCAGACACCCTCTGTTTGAATAGGCTTCCACCTCTGACCAGTTTCGCTCCATCAGACTCCCTTCTGATGTGCACTCAGAACTCACATCTTTACTCTGGGATGTAAAAAAAGAAAAAAAGAACCTCAAAAGGCATCTTGGCTAAAATTTTCTGCTTTCCACTCAGTCTGACCCTGATCTTTTCCACGGAGGCCTCGTAATGTCTTATCCTGGGGAACATCTGCACCTTTTGGGGTAGAGGCCCCCACACATCACCTCCACTTGTCACCAAGTTTCTCCTTTGTGTAGAAGCACAGCCTCCTTGTCCTTCCTTTACGCACATACTTAACAACCCAAGGCTGCGTCTCTGGAGTGGTCCAGTCTCTGCCTCTGTGGGGTGTCCCGGCCACCGATGGCTGGCTGGGTCTCTTCACTGGGGTCTCTCCTGGCTTTTCCCTGAAGGTCACGGCCCCACCTCTTGTGGTGATTTCCCTGTGCAGCGCGCATCTGTGTCACTCATCCGGGGCTCGACACGGGATGTTTAAGCCTGAGCAGTTTTAAAAATCATTAATTGAAAAACATTTAAAGCAATGTTGGCTTACATTTATTGAGCCCTTAATGCGCACCAGGCACTGCTAAACTTCTTACCTGCCAGATCTTGCTGACTCCTTGCCAACACCTCCGTGGCAGGCCCTCCTAGGGTGCCTACTCTTCAGATGAGGAATTGGGGGTTCAGGGAGGTTTTTGTCCAGGCATTCCAGCTGGTGAGGGGGCCCTGATTATCTTCGGGGAGAGAAGGGCATCAGGGTGAAGTGAATGATGCTGTTGGGGGATCCGGGACGGGCACCGTTTTGGGGGGGTTCTCCACCAGAGACCCTCATCCCCAGTCCTCTGTTCGTAAAAACACGGGTGCTTAGTTTGTTGGGTAAATAAAACAAACCCACAGTTTTCCCTTTTCTCTTGATCGCTGTTGGCTAGAGATCGCCCCTCCCAGAAAATCACAATTTTCCTCCCCGAGAGCTTGGAAAATAGTTATCAGCCTGTCAGAGCCGGTGAGAAATTGGGGAGGTCTGCGCCAGCTTGGATGGTTTCCCTGGCTGATCCCACAATGCCCAAATCCTGCCTCACCACCACCTCCATGGTCCTGTGAGGATGTCAGGGAGTACCTGGCCTCAAACTTTTGTTGCTATGACAACCTTTCTTCTGTGTTCTGTGACCATTTTGTAATTTATTTTTTACTGAGGAGAAGGAAAAAGAATGCCCCAACACCCCCACCGCCCCATAAAAAAATCCTGCGCTCCTCTCTCCCCACCCCTGAAACATCAAGGACCATGTTCTTTCCCTCCCGCCCAAACTACAGGGACGGCTTGCTTTCCTTCCCAACGTTTTACGTTCACCCCAGCGAAAACACCAACCATGAAATCCTGACCTCTCCGTGAGAAGCAGCTGCTAAGTGTTCCTTCCTCTCCACCGCTTGTTCGGTAATTTCTCTCTGTGCCCAAAAGAGCCTCTCCCCGCTCTGGGCAGCCACAGGAAAATCTAATAAGCCCTTTTACCCACATGAAAAAGTCTACAGCGTTTACAAAGAAAACTGCAGCCTGTCCTAAACAGACACGATCTCACCAGACCGGGCACAAAGAAAGCTTTTCTCCTTCCTCCAAGAAGGAGCATCAACCTCCTTCAACAAACAGAAAGGGAGCTTGGCCTTGACACAGAATTAGCCCGAGCCCTTCACGCAAATTGGATTTCTCTTCTGTATTAGATGCTCAGAAGGGCTGTGTGGTTGCCCGTTGTTGGCATCCTGGGGGCGGGGGCAGCGGAGGAAAGATCTGGAGAAGGAACAGGGAAGGTCTGGGGGTGGGGAGATGGGCTGGCGGGACGTGTGGTTGTACCAAGTGGGAGCACAGGTGAGGTTGGGCTTCATCTCGCATGTGTTTGAACCTGAGTAAGTAGGTGACTCGGGAAGTCTTGGAGGGGTGGCAGGGCAGGGTGGAGGAGGGCTTGCCGGGATGCCTGGAGGGAGGTGGGACTGAGGCAGCCGCAGGGAAGGGAGGGACGGGTCACAGGAAGCAGGAGCACTGTTTCTCCCGGGATGGGTGGAGCAACGCCATTTGTGAAGGACGGAAGCTTCTCGAGTCTCCTGTTGGCAGTGTGGTTCGGGCAAGAGCCTCAGTTTGCTCCCCTGTAGAACGGGGATCAGAGCAGGTGGCACTGGTTGGAGGTGGGAATATTCAGGGAAATAGTGTGGGGAAGGTGCCGCACACCTGCTGGGTGTGTGAGTGCCCCCTGCCACCTCCAGAGGGCCGCCACCCTCCTCTCTCCCGTACAGTTCTGCAGCGGTCACCCTGCTTCCTTCGCTGACCCCACTCAGTAGGCTCTCCACCCAGCCCCACAGCAATGGCCAGATCCTGTCCCTCCTTTGTTCAGCCCCCTCCGGTGGCCCTGCTGTCACTTAGAGTCAAAGCCCCATCCTCCCATGGCTCCTCCCCAGCTGTGCCACTTCTCTGGGCTCCCCTGCCCCCCCATCGTGGTCACTGATGGTCCCTTCCACACTGGCCCCCAAACGCCAGGCACACTCAGCCTCAGAGCCTTTGCACTGGCCCTTCCCTCTGCCTGGAATGCTTTTCCCCTAGATGGCCGCAAATCTATTTCTGGAAACTTCTTCAAGTCAGTGCTGAGCTCTCTCTGAGCACCCAGTTCAAAACTGATCTCCCCACACGTTTCCTGCTTGCTTTTTCTTCTAGCACTTGCCATGGACTTTACCTCGTCTGTTTTGTGTATTGCCCACCAGCTCCGTGAAGGTGGCAGAATCTGCGTTTATCTGCTTGATTCACTGTTGCTTCTTTAGTGCTGAGGACACTGGCACACAGTAGGTGGTCAGCGAACATTTGTGGGATGAATGTTGGTTGCTGTTAGGACGGTTGCACTTTCTCGGGCTCCAAGTGTCTTCTTCCCCTGCAGTGAGGCAGGGGGCCAACCGGGCACACCTCCCCTTTCACTGAGGTGTCCACTACACACACCCCGCCTTTACACACCCAGGTGCTTGTGGGGTGGGGCCATTCTCACGCAGGAGGAGAAAGCCCCTAGCTGAGCCCCCCTTTCTTGCTTCCCCTTCTTTTCTACAGAAAACCCCAGATCTTCTTCTGCCTGCTCCCTTCAGTTAGGCCACTACCTTTTTCACGAGTATGAGGACAGATATGATGTCCCCACCCAGGAGGCTTCTAGCGCTGAGAGCGTGTCAGTGTAATATCAGATGGGCTTTGTGTTAGGCTCGTCCGATGGGCGAGGACTCGGACTTTGAAAGGCGTGGCTCTAAGCCAAGATCAGTGTTGTTTTCTTGCATTTCCAGAACAGCTCACTGACAGCCTAGTGCCATGGTTACACCTATTTTCTGGGGCACAGAGAGATGAAGTGACTTGCCCAAGGTCACA